TATTAAGGAGGATTTAAAACTGAGAGAGTAAATCGTTGGAAAAACAGCCGGTCTTAACGTATTTAGTAATTAATTCATTAAGCACGTTCAATTTCTTCCCTCAAAGGTTTAGTATTTCCTGTATACATTTTAGTTCAATTAGGAAACGATTCAGGCAAATTGGCTTTCCATATGGTAAAAGCTAGTAAAAGCTTTAACTTATAGCGGTGTTTGAATTTTGTATTGTTTAAGCTCGTTAGCTCGAAACTTTTAATGGACGTCCGACCACAAATAATATATTACGTTAAATGAACTTTTAGAAACTTTTCGTTTTCATTGTTTCAATATATAATAAACTGTTAGCTCAAATTCTAAGCAAAACTTTGGTAAGCGCTTTTTAATTGATAATTTTGATATTTAGGTATCTTTAGTGTTATTTTTCAGATATACTTACAAAATTGTTATTAAAAATCATGGTACAATAAAATTAAAAAAAAAACCTAAATAGTAAAAACTTATAATATTAAATGAGCATTTCTTGTATATGTACTATAGGATATAAATTTATTTAATGTATCTCGGAAACGGCTGTAACGATTTGGCTCAAATTTTGTATTTAGATATTGTTCTTTTTTAATTATTTTTTTATTAGGTTTTGCATTTTAAAATTATCTGTATAGGTGTCTTTTCTGAAAAAACTTTTCTAACTAATGGCAACTTTTCAGAAAAAACATTCTTTACCAAAAAAAACGTTGAACAAAGCTCGACCCAGGTACTATCATTAAATACAAATAACACGTGTATAAAGACCTCTGAACTAAACTACGCGTTCATTTCAATTTACATACTGATTGAGCATTTTAATGATATCTAAGCAATTATGAAACAGTAAACTAATAATTGGCTTTTCGACGCTCAAATTTGTTGCTGGTACAACGAAATTATCGTGATTCGATATCCATAAGTACTCATGAAATTATATAGAAATAACGATATATGCTAATGAGGGAACATCATACGTGGTAATACGATGAGACAATATTTATAATACTTTTAACCTTTATGTAACATCGCATACAAGCTCCCAGTAAAATCAAATAGGTATATACTTATCTATATAATAAAAGTCTGAGTTGAATCTGTCTGGGGACGCATCACGAGAAAACCACTGGATAGATTTTGATGAAATTTTACGTGATAATAGCTGGTTATCCGGGTCAACATATAGGATACTTTTTACTGCGGGAAAATATCTCATTTCTGAGAAATCTATACTAAACATTAAAAGGTAGTTAAAAATAAAGAAATGTATTATTTTGCAATAGTCAATACATATTTAGGCAGTAGTAACTAGTAAGTGGTAACCCACGGGTAACTCGCTTATTTCTGAAAGTGAAACGGGTTCAAATCCCAGGTCTGGCACGTATGATACAAACTGTGTGTATGTATGTACATGTATGTGCAAATCATTTCCAATATGATTATGATCACCTGTCATATGAACGAAAATATAGCGAGGAAACCTGCATATCTGTGAGAACCTAGCAAATTTTCGAAAGAGTTGTGAAGTCCGCCAACCCGCAAAAAGGGCGGAATACATACATGAAGTCTCCAGTATTATTTAAATTTGACTTAATTTATTAATTATTTGATTTTTTTAACCACTGTAGTTATTTCATAGCATAATATTTAATAATTTATTTATTAAATTTTAATTTTTATTCTGTTACTTAATAAAATAAAATATTCAAATAAAATATAATGATAATTCTATCAGAATACACATAATGAGTTCTTCCTAAAGATGAATTCAATAAAATCTTAACGAGATCGTTGGACGAGGCGATCTGAGTGTGATACAGAAAAGCACATTTAATATTATTCCGATATAAAAATGATATTTTCAGCATAACAAAAATTTATCATTACAGTTAACACAAATCTAATAAAATAATATCTAAGATACCTTTAGTAAAATCTTTAATAAATAATCTGTCCAATTATAATAGATTTTTTGATAAAAAAAGTTAAAATACTTTTTCGATACTAGTTTCAAATTTACCACCGGCAATGGCTCAAATTTTCAAAGTATTTGAAAACTTTAGACAAAGAAACAGAAAGAAGGACTGAATGAAATATATATATATATATATATATATATATATATATATATATATATATATATATATATATTTCCTCCATGTGCCTCCTGTGATGAGTGATATAAGTCGAGTTGTACCCTTTTTGTGATTTTTACATAGAAATAATCAGAAAAATATTAGGGTTTTTTGGTCTAACTCATGTTCTTCTATCTACTATAGTTTCTTAAATAATTTTGTGCGAAGTGATATAAGTGACAGGATTTTTGCAAATATGGTGAATATAGATATCATGAACGAATTAACCACTCGTCCATGATAGATATATTTCAAGTTGTAACCTCTTGTAATTGCTGCACACGCTATTTTTCGAGCTTCGTGGTATAAGTGCAATTGTATTAATTTTCACCTTTTATTTTTTTGTAAATTTATCGTGATATTATTAGAGTTATATCACTTTTAACAGATTTTTCTCAATAATGATTAGGGTACAATTCAACATGTACCTACTAATCCTAATTCTATACAAATCAACCTTTATGTGTAAACAAATATAAATTGAATTGTATATAAAACTCAAACCAAATCTAAATCAAAAATGTATGAAGAACAAGACGTGCTAAATGATACAAGTGCTGGGATACACCTATAAACTTTTAACTTTTGTGGTTTTGGGATTTGGTTTGGTTTGGTTTTGGGTTTTATGATGGTATGCAATTTTTTTTCGCGATTTTGGAGCAGTGATTTTGCATGAACTTGATCCTTCAAAAACAATTAAGATGAGTGCGTGGACTGTCAAGTGGTTAGTCGTCATTTACGACACCCTCGGAATGTAGGGTTGGTGACTTTCAGTATTTTTAATCCGTCACCACACGGACAGTTGCAATTAGTAGTTGCCGAACTGATTCTTATAGACGTTTATTTTTATTATCATTTCCGAAATCTCGAATTACTAAAATTATGGATTTAGCCACTAGTCACATGGCGAACATGAGTTCACAAGACCATACTAAAGCTGAAATTGAACGAACAGAACAAAATAATAATACCAATGAAGACGGCTACGGATATCATGTAAGAGAACTTATTGAAGGATCATTGCCAGTAAAACCTATAGAAAGTCCAGTCCCTAATATCCACAAACACAAAAATTCAGAAAAATCTGCAGAGGATTTAACAGAAATGGTTATTAACAATAATAAGACAAACGACACAAATGACAACGATTAAAAAAACCCTATGATTATTTGAACCTTACAGATTCATCCAGCGATGGTGATTTTGTTACGCGCGACATGGCCACACCACCTCAGAAAATGCTCTTCAACTGAACTTGACTGTGACGTGAAGCTTCGGAATGTGTTGAGATAGCGCTGCCCAGCACTCGCCTCCGTATAAAAGGACTGGTCGGACGATGCTCTTGTTTATCTGTTCCTTAAGCTTGGACGGTATTCTGCGATCACAAACCACACCTGTAACCTCCAGCTTCCCTTATACAGGCTTAGACTTCGTGATCGATGCTTTCTGAATTTCTTCGACTTAACGGTTGGTTCAAGCCCTATGTGGATGGTGCTGGAGTCTGGACTCCCGCAAGCCATATACTCGGTCTTCGCGACATTTAGTTTGACACCGTCGTTCTCAAGCGTACCCTACCCACAGGTTCACCCTACGCTCCAGCTCTACACGGCTCTTATCAGCGAGAGCGATATCATCGGCATACATCATCAGCCATGGAGGCTGGTCCTGGATGCATGCGAGACAACATCTAGTACTACGTTGAATAAGAACGAACAGTTCTGACCACGGAACCACCGCCTTTTTATCTAACTTTTGTGAAACTATATTAGTTCCCATTGAGAATAGTTAAGTTACATTCGTATTCTTAAATTATGGTGATAAGATCTCAGTTAACCGCCCTTAAAAATTTTGATAAAACTGTGCCTTATTTGTAAGTGAATTATTGATTTTGAAGAAGTTTAATAAACGATGATTGTTTTTCTAAAACTTGTATTTATTTAAACAAACATAAATTTATTTAAACGATGCATTTGTTATTACAATGAATTATACTCTACTTCACAGAACTATACGTAGAGATCTTGAAAAATGATAGCTGCCGTTGCGCATTTGGCCGCAACATCTTCGCAGCCAGGTATAAGCGGGTCATATTTTGGTATGTTTATGCGTTCATAGCAAGCAAGCTAATTTTTTTCGTACCTGATAAACTACGTCTTTCTATGTAAAAGTGGCCGCAAAAGTGGTTGCGAGTCATTAAAAGTGTTTTTGTTACATTTATACGTTAATTCAACAATATTTCATATATATAATTCAAAATAACATTTATATTCATCATTTATATATCAAATTAAAACAATTTTTTTTCTGTGCATGATAAAATACCTCTCACCTATGTAAAAGTGGCCGCAATGGAAAGAAAAGAAGGAAAGAATATAATATTATATGTCATTTGTCAGACAATAACAACGGTTACCATGGCAAAGATAGATTAAAGTGAAAGAGAGTTAGTGCTTTAGTTATCTGTTTGTTGCCAAAATACTATTAATAAGTTAAACAAAAATAATTCATAAACCCTCATTTATTTATATGAAATCTTTTTGTTCTCTGAAAATGTTTTTAGAATTTTTGTCTGTCTGTCTGTTACCGCATCACAGAAAAACCACTGGAGGGATTTTGATGAAATTTGGTATGGTGATAGCTGGTTGTCCGGGTCAACATATAGGACATATACAACATATAGGACATATAAATTTTTACCGCGGGAAAATATCTTATTTTTGAGAAAAATACAAAAACTGCAATGTAAGAGTATAGGTACTGTATAGTACTAATATGTAAAACCTTAGAATTTGGTCTTTGGTCATCTGAACGCGGGCGGAGCCGCGGGTAGTGCTAGTTATATTATAAATATCTATAACCACTGTAATATGGTTTTATTTCAGCAATCGACATGGGATATTCCACGTCTGGGAACCTCACCATCGCTTTTAAGCATTCACATTCTGGATCTAAGTATGAATTACATTTGCACTTGTTCATGCACGTTGAGCATGGGGTCGTATCCCGACATGTTTCACACTCTTTAATGGGACAAGACGTACAAGTTTCGCATCCACATCTCGTCGTTGGTTTGCCACATCCTCTCGTGCAAAAAGCGTCTATACCCTACAAAAGAAGGCAACATTTTTATAAAATACCTAATTATTGTGTAATAGAATCTTAAAGTTGATTTTAGCCTATTACATTTTTTTATCGACTTGAAATTTTGTACATTTTGACGAGTCATATATCAGTCATATATCAAAGTATTTTATTTAATTTGTTTAACGGCCTATAAATATACCTACAATTAATAGGAAAATAAATATCTTGAATCGCTGTCCGAGGCACGTGGGTATATATATATATATATATATATATATATATATATATATATATATATATATATATATATATATATATATGTATAATAATTTGAAGAAATACGTAAAGTTACACAAAAATAATTCACAAACCCTCATTTATTTAGATGAAATCTATACATATAATAAAATTGTAACTGGACCGAATCTGTACATTACATATTTTTTGGAAAATCTTATTGAAATAGACATTATTATCGATACAGAGGCCGAATCTGTATGTTCTGTGTAGTTTTTTGAATTTTTGTCTGTCTGTCTGTCTGTTACCGCATCACAGAAAAACCAATGGAGGGATTTTGATGAAATTTGGTATGGTGATAGCTGGTTATCCGGTTCAATATATAGGATACTTTTTACCGCGGGAAAATATCTCATTTTTGAGAAAAAATACAAAAACTGCAATGTAAGAGTATAGGTACTGTATACTAATACGTAAAACCTTAGAATTTGGTTTTTGGTCATCTGAACGCGGGCGGAGCCGCGGGTAGTGCTAGTTATATTATAAATATCTGTAACAACTACTGTAATATGGTTTCATTTCAGCAATCGACATGGGATATTCCACGTCTGGGAACCTCACCGTCGCTTTGAAGCATTCACATTCTGGATCTAAGTATGAATTACATTTGCACTTGTTCGTGCACGTTGAGCATGGGGTCGTATCCCGACATGTTTCACACTCTTTAGTGGGATAAGACGTACAAGTTTCGCATCCACATCTCGTCGTTGGTTCGCCACATCGTGTCGTGCAAAAAGCGTTTATGCCCTGCAAAAGAAAGCAACATTTTTTTAAAATAACTAATTATTGTGTAATAGAATCTTAAAGTTGATTTTAGCCTATTATAATTTTTTTATCGACTGAAATTTTGTATATTTTGACGAGTCATATATCACATCAAAGTATTTTATTTAGTTTGTTTAACCGCCTATAAATATGCCTACAATTAATAGGTAAATAGATATCTTGAATCGCTATCCGAGGCGACGTGGGTGTAGGCCAACTTCCCAATTCCGGAATGTTACTGAGGATTTCTTAATAGAAATACCCAATATAACTTAGTCCGAACCGGAACTCGAACCCAGGACCTCCGAATCTGCATGATACGTGGTCACTAGAAATAACTACTAGTACATATACTTGAATAAAAAGGAATAAAAGAAATGAATCTATACTAATTACTAATAATTTGTGACTTTGCAGGGGGTAATCTCTGGATCTACTGAACTGATTTAGATGAAATTTGGTAAGAAGATAGTTTGAGACCCTGGAAAGGATATAGGATACTTTTTAACCCGGAAATCATCCTTTAAGAGGGTGAAAAAGGGGATGAAAGTTTGTATGGGGATTCAACCTAGGGACGAACCCGAGCGAAGCGAGGGTGAATCGCTAGTATAACTTTTATCTTCTTACACAACTTTCAATATAGATCCAAGGCTTACCTGGCAGACGCAGAAAATGAAAACCACAAGTACGATTTTGTTCATTTTGTTGAACTGTTTGAAGAGTATAATTCGACCTACTTTATATAGAATTTTCATTCATTAAATATTACAGGAAGTAAATGATAATGTTATAAATTGTTTGTATAAACTATTGGGCAAGCGAAAGAGGAAGTGATAGTGAAAATGGAGAAAATCACGTACGAAAATACGTTACTTGATAATACTAAATTATACTTTATGGATATTCATATTTAGTGATTACAAATATATAAGTACTTATACGATATATATAGTAAGCATGTCTGTCTATCAGTTTTCTTAGTATTTATGATATAAACAGTTAAATAATCAAAAGGTTGATTCGGTTCGGTCAGAATAATAAAAAATATAAGGAGTAAGGTAGTGTTAGCCCAGTGATAACGCACTCGCTTGAGCAACCTAGTGAAGCGGGTTCAAATCCCGGGTCTCGCACTTCTGATTTGAATTATTTCCAACATGATTATCACTTGTCTTACGATGAAGGAAACATGCATGTCTGAGAGAACTTAACAAGTTTTCGAAAGACATGTGAAGTCAGTTGGCCAGCGTGGTTGACTATGGCCTGATAAGGCCTGTATTGAAGTAGTGCCTAAGTCCGTGCCCAGTAGTGGGACGTTAAAAAGGGCTGAATACTATTTTTTTTGTGTGGGCTAATAATTTAAATTGTGTTAGCTTATAAATAAAAAACATAATTTAATCATACTAACATTTAAACAAACACACGAATGAAGTCGGGTGGTGTAACTTATATTTTATATTTTCTTATCTTTGTTTGTTTTTACTTACTAAATGTATTGCTTTAAGTTTAATCACCTTTTTATGTCACTCAGCAGCTTTTTAATTACATTTTCCTACTTCGTTATAAAAAACATCTAAATAGCCTAAATATTTATTATTTTTATTCTACTGTTGAAATTCTTTTTAGGGTCTTCTTTATATGAAATTAAAGAAAACCTCTTTAAGTTTCCTTGAAGTACAGAACCCTCTTTCATCCGATTTCGACTCGCACACGATCAGTAATTAAATATTCGATGTGCAAACTGGACGACTAAAATCGTTAAATTTTAGTAGACCGTCATTTTATTGTGGCAGTCTGGCAAACTGAAAACGTTTTAGCAAATGGAATTTTGAACATCAAAAGCCCAATCTTGAAATGTATTGGAGAACTTTCCTTTCGATATTTACTTGGTCATTGAATGCTTCATAAAGGCTTTAAGAAATAAGAAATTAGTACGAAAATATTAAATTTTCTATATTTTCATTTCATTCAAAAATTTATTTCGTATATTAATTCAATATAATTGATCTTTTCAAATATTTGTGTAAAAAATTAAATATATATTATTTTTATGCTAATAGAATATTTTTTTAGTCTGAGACTGAGCATGATGAATTAGATTTTATCATATAATACGAGTATTAAATGAGTAATTCTTATAATGTATACATATGTAGTTTTTATTTCGTGTATCTCGGAAACAGCTCTAACGTTTTGGATCAAATTTTGTATTTAGATAAGATACTTTTTAAATTTATTTATATCGGGTTAAAGGTGTTTTATTATCCAAAAAAAACAATGCTCACTTACATTAGAAAATTTAAACAATGGTGATTCTAAACAAAATATGGATTCTTGCATGACATTATGTAACGTTTTAAGTTTTATTGATCATATTTAAAGTTTTTGACTCCTTTACATTAATTGGCAAAGAATTGTAAAGCTGTGCTCTTTCAAATTTAATAGTTTTTATTCCATATTTTTAACGTCCCACTGCTGGGGACGAGCCTTCCTTGAACGCAAGGGGGATCAAGCCATAGACCACCACGCTAGCCAAGTGCGCGTTGGCGGACTTCACATGTCTTTCGAAAAGTTGCTAGGTTCGGTTGCAGGTTTCTTCACGATGCTTTCATTCACCTTTAGACAAGTGATAATTAGGTATGTTCGAAATGATTCGCACTCGATTCGATGTTGCAACATCAATTATTTACACAATAGATTTTAATTTCGCCAAAGATATCTTATCGAACATTATTCGTAAAGGCTTAACAACTGACGTCCATTTATCAATTAAATCTCAATTATAATTTATAAGCTTATTTTTTATTTACAAATAATTTATTATAATAAAAATTGATTTTCAAAAAAAAAATGTTTTATTTGTTATTGATATTTGGTCAAGTGGCTGGCTGGCAATACCTGCATATAGAGGTCCTGAATTCGAGTTTTGAGTCGGGCCAATGTATACATAGTTATTAAGATAATCTGTTATAAGATTCTCAGTAATTTCTCAGAGTTGAGAAAGTTTCCCAGTTGGTTGTATTGAATTTTGTTTGCTTGCTTTAAAGAAAAGTATTATAGATGCAAAACCTGGAGTTTTAGACTGATTTCTACTGTGGTCTGTGAACTTAGTATATTAATAGTAATGATTGACAAATATAGCTCAAATAACTTTATACATAAAATCAGTCTTCTTCATGCTTCTATACTCGCCTCTTGCCTGTTGGCGCTGTTTTCGTAACTAGAAATAGGATCAGAGTATGTCAGGCGTTTAATCACAATATGTTAATATTGATGTTTGTTTGTGTATCATAATTTAAAAATAAATAATATAAAATGATTAATATATATATATATATATATATATATATATATATATATATATAAGTAAAAATTCAAAAATCTTTGTTCATCTCTAATAAAGATGATGATTATCATCTTTTTACAAAGTACTGTGCAATGCGTTAAAATTATATCTTGCTCTTTTATTTTGCTAGGCGTTTTTTACTTCACACATACATACATAGGTATATCAGAAAAATTATAATGTCATATTTAAATTGATGCTCGTACATATATATCTTTACCAAATTAAAATACGCTCATTTACTTACTTTAGAAATTATTGATTCCCCATACAAACTTCCACTCCCTTTTTCATTCCCTTGAGGAATGATTTCCGGAGTTTAAACTAACCTGTGTCCTTCCCCAGGGTCTCAAACTATCTTTATACTAATTTTCATCCAAATCAGTTCAGCCGTTTAGTCGTGAAAAGGTTACAAACAAACAAATTTATAATATTAGTGTGGATTCAATGCTACTCTTAAAGTAAATTACATATGTATATTACATTTTTGTGAAGGCAGTTTAGCATATCTATTTGCACTAATTTTAACAGGATCACGATTTCAATTGGAATCGAAGAAATCATTTTTGTGTATAGCTAATGTCGTTAAAAAGATGAAGGAAATTTTATATTATTGCCACTATGCGTTTCAACTTGTATGTTCAATTTCTCTTCAGTTTTTTAAGGCTATATTTAACAAACAAAACGGTTGGACATATTTATATATAGTTTAGTTTGTTATGGGGATGTGTCATGTGGCTTAGACTGAGCGAAGTGAGAGTGAGTCGCTGGTTAATAAATGAAATCAGTACCTACTTATTGTAAATCGTAAAATATATCTTTATATCTCAGAGTAAATGTATCCTTATCACAAACAATCAAAAGGGATAAAGATGTGTCGTATAAAAAGAAATCTCGTATTATACGAACAGTACCATCTAACAGCTAACACTTGTGACTTTAATGAAGTTCCGATATAATCAACGTAAAGGCGCAAGTCGTTTTCTTTTCACGAATAAAAAATCCTGTTACGATTCAAACAAGATTTTGGCAATTTGGCAATGGATTTGGTGGATTCATGTACTTAATCAAATTGTTTAAGTGCACGGCAGAGTTGGGGCTAAATTTTTGAAAGTAGGTCATTGTTATTTCGTTGTCAAAGTAGTATTAAAACAAAATATAAAAAAAAGGTTTTTATATATTGCTTATTTATTAAAAATCATATGGTTAGACGTAAACAATTAACGCAGTGGTAATGCGCACAATTGGGAATTGGCGCACAACTGAAGCGGGTTCTAATCTTGAGTCAGCTTTTGCTAACACGGTGGAGTAAATCATCGTGAGGTAACCTGCATGTCTAAGAGAACTAGATTTCGAAAGAAACGTGAAGTCCGCCAACTCGCACTTGGTCAGCGTGGTGGCAAGTCCTCTTGAGGTAAGAGATAATAAAGTAAGTGAAAGCAAGTAATAAATAGTTCTATGTTTTCACGTCCTACTGCTTTGCCGTGAAAATTTTTATAATAAATTCGTTTCACACTTAAATTCCGGTGAGACGAAAATTCGACACTCGCGGGGAGAGATCAGACGCACGACCGACGGCATTACGTGCTCAGCGAAATACGGGAGAACGAATAAAGCTGTCTGTAAAGAAAATATTTTTGGTCCATAGCGGCCAAATTTATTGAGTTTGATCAAAATTTCATAACTTCAAAGTTAATCAAGCTATTAAGATATTAATCAAAGCTTCCTTGTACATTTTACTACAGTCTGAGTTTGTGTAATTCATCTACAAGTCTAACTTAACCCAAAACATATAAACGCAAGCTATAATTTATTCAATACTAACGACCTACCCTCACTTCGGTCGAGTGCGCCCCTAAGCTTGAATGGTATAAGGACACATGTAAAATAAACGCCTGAAGACATTTTTTTTGCGCCATGAATCTTTGCAGACAAATACCTAATAACTCACCAGAGTTTCATCACAATCGGATCAATGGTTTAGGAACACATAGAGGAGCTACTTACAAACATTCATTTTTATTTATATAGATAGATTTATAGATAACCCTTTACAAGAACTTAATCACGAATTTAATTTAAAGTGAAACTAGTTTATGAAGCCTTTGGTTCGGTTCGTAGTTGTGCTAAGTAAAACATTCTTAAGATTTAAGTATAACAAAAAAAACTCTCATGTAGGAGTAATATAGGAGTGTATGGTCTTAACTATAATACTTTCTTAGATTTACGCGAATATTTGATATCTATACATACTATAATAAAATTATAACTGAGACGAATTTGTACATTAAATATATTTTATTGAAAATCTTATTCAAATAATCATTATTTCAGTCGATGCAGAGGCTGAATCTATAG